GGGTCAGTCTTTAAACATTCATCTACTAGGGCAAACTGTGTGTAAGGTTAAAGGTAAACATTACAGTTAGTCGCTACTAACTCGCCATTTTGAGTAGCATTGTCTGCTGTGATAACATCTCAGTTAAAAGACGTAAATATCTCTGTATCCTAGTCTGTCAGATCTACTTTTTTTTTAAATCTATCTATGGGTTTATCCATCCATCCCTCCGTCTGTCAGTCTGTCTCTATGTCTGCCTGTCTGTCTCTCTGTTTGTATGTCGGTCCTCCACGCGCCTGTCCGTCTGTTCATCCGTTTATTCATTTATCCGTCTATTTATCCACCCATCCATCCCTCCGTTCGTGCCTCTGTCCATTAATCAGTCTCTCCGTCTATTCTTTCTCCGCCCGTCTGTCCATACATCCGTCTTGTCTATCCGTCCCCTTCCACTGTCATTTGCCAGATGCTTTTGAATGCTGCACTACCTTGTTCTTTTGGGAGTCGCCGTGGCAGAGTGGCTAGACGCGCGCCGCGGATCGGAAGGTCGTGGGTTCGATCCCTGGTGAAGACGGACTTTTCTTCAAAAATGACCTTGGCTCCCAGGTCGACCCAGCCTTGAGTGGGTACCGGGTGCAATCCCGGGAAGTAGAGGCGGCCGGCGTGATGCTGACCACATCACCCATGTTGTGCCGTTGGTCTATAAAAATATAGGTCTAGCCCTATATGCCCTATACGCATTAAGGCGTGGAAAGGGTCCTTTACTTACTTACTTACTTTTACCATGTTCTTTTATTTTCACCTAGTGTTTCATGTTGTTTATTGTTCCATACTCCTACGTGAGACAAATTGTCTTTTTAAAGACAAGTATATCTTTAGTTCTCTCTCTTTCTCTCTCCCTCTCCCTCTCTCATTGTCTCTCATTCTCTGTCGTTCTACTCGCTCTTGCTGTCCTCTCCCTGACTTGCTTTCTCTCTCTCTCTCTCTCTCTCTCCTTTCCCTCCCACTTCTCATATCATTCTCTCGATATGAATACAGTAGGGCAGTATACAAGCATTTTAAAGATGTATGTTCCCCGTGTGGGTTACGGGGTCCCATTGTGGGGAAAACAAGAATAGGCCCACTGCTTCCTCTACAAGCATGTCGTAGGAGTCGAGTAATTAGGGAAGTCCTTCGAAGTCGGAGTACATCTGCCGAAGTGGCAAGTAACAATGAACTGCACACAAATAAGTCAGTAAAACGGATTTACACGTAAAACTCAGACCCTGGTACAAAGTCAAAGTCCAGATGGACGAACATCCAAGACTTTCCATCGGAGCTTAAAGCCCATGAACAACGAAGGAGAAGAAGAAGATTCTCTTTCTCCCTATCCCTCCCTCTCTCTTTCGCTATCCCTCCCTTTCTCTCTATCCCTCTCTCTCTCCCTGTCCCTCCCTCTCTCTCTCCCTATCCCTCCCTCTCTCTCTATCCCTCCCTCTCTCTCTCTCTATCCCTCTCTCTCTTCCTATCCCTCCTTTTCTCTCTATCCCTCTCTCTCCCTGTCCCTCCCTCTCTCTCTCCCTATCCCTCCCTCTCTCTCTATCCCTCCCTCTCTCTCTATCCCTCTCTCTCTTCCTATCCCTCCCGCTCTCTCTATCCCTATCTCTCCCTATCCCCCTATCTCTCTCTATCCCTCTCTCTCACTGTCCCTCTCTTTCTCTCTATCACTTCTTCTCTCTCTCTATCCCCCTATCTCCCTGCCCCTCTCTCTCTCTCTATCCCTCCCTCTCTCTCTATCCCTCCCTCTCTCTCTATCCCTCTCTCTCCCTATCCCTCCCTCTCTCTCTATCCCTCTCTCTCCCTATCCCTCCCTCTCTCTATCCCTCTCTCTCTCGCTGTCCCTCCCTTTCTCTCTGCCTGTCCCTCTCTTTCTCTCTCTCTATCTCTCCCCCTCTCTCTATCCCTCCCTCTCTCTCCCTGTCCCTCCCTCTCTCTCTACCTGCCCCTCCCTTTCTCTCCCTATCACTCCCTTTTTTATCTCTCTATCCCCTCTGTATTTTCTCTCCTCTTCTCTCTCGCTCTTTCTCTCCCTCGTTGTTATTATATTTATTAAACCACCAATCATTATTTCTTTTAATCCACTTTCATAAGATTGATATCAGATCAAAGACGATTTGGGATCAACAGTAACATTCATGTCTGTCTCTATCTCTTCTTTTTTATAGTGCTCCTTTTTTTTTTTTCTTTTTACCCTTTCTCGATTTCTCATGTTCTCTCTCTCTCTCTCTCTCTCTCTCTCTCTCTCTCTCTCTCTCTCTCTCTCTCTCTCTCTTTCTCTCTCTCCCACACTGATTTGTCCCTTCCCTTTTCCCCTTCTCACCTACACTTAAAATCTATACTCACACACCTCTTTGTACTCCATTCTATTTCTGCGAAACACGCTCTGTCTTTTTCTATAGAGCTGTCTTAACAGCATTTATAGGCACCTGGGCAAACGAATGTGTTGGGGCCCCTACAACATTCACTCATAGTAAGTTTAGGTTTAGACAACGGATCAACATCACGGCACAAGGGTAGTAACCCATAAGTGCTCCGTTCCACTTTTGACTAAAGCCTGATTCTGAGGTTTGTCAGCGCAGTGCACGAACTCCGTAGCACTGGTGTGGATCTTGAAATACTGTGGGTAGATTTTAAACTCCGTCTGCATACAAATGAGTCAGGTCTGTAAAACGAACGCACACGCGGCACTCAGATTCTGGAACAGGGCTGCAGTCCAGAAGTGAATGAACAACCAGAACTTTCCGCCAGAGTTTACAGCTGGTGAAAGCGAAGAAGAGGAGGAGGAAACTTCGAAATTTCCCAGGGTCAGTGCCGTTAAGCGACTCATCTTCGAATTTCAACTGCGGAGGGATGGTGTTTTTTTTTTTTTTTTAGGTGCGCAACAATTCAAGCGCCGCCCCTGATCACTCATAGTAATGAAATGGAAATGGTACTTTGACAAACACAGATTAGCATGAGGCCCCTATGCTCGTGATGCCCCTCAGCAAGTGCCCAGTATGCCCAAGTGTTAAGACAACGCTATCTTCTTTCTGCCTTAGCGACTCTCTCTCTCTCTCTCTCTCTCTCTCTCTCTCTCTCTCTCTCTCTCTCTCTCTGTATCTCTTTCTTTTTCTTTCTGTTCGTGTTGACATATGTACATAGCCACTAACTATCTAGTGGACACGCACACCTGTACACACACGCACTCATGTACACACACACACGCACACATGCAAATACACACGCACACACACTCTCAGTTCATAATCGGAATACCTTTCATGATTGCCCAGTTCCCGAACCAAGCCTCTAGTTCCTGAACTGACTGCCCAATTCCCGAACTTGGCCATCTAGTTTATCAGATGAGTGTCCACTTTCCAGAACATAGCTTCCGCGTAGTAAAATGAATGCCCACTTCCCGAATTAGGCCTCCAGTTCCTTAAATGAATGCCCACTTCCCAAATTTAGCCTCCAGTTCTCATACGGAATATCCGGTTCCTTGCACGAATAAGAATTCTAAATTATCAGAGGTCTATATTTACTAGCAGCATCCAGTTATCTCCCAGTCATAGACTGGCTCCCATAAACACCCAATGTTATTGGGTAAGACTGGAGTTGTGGAACCTGGAGAATTAGGATCCTTGAATTATGAACCCCATGCAGACATAACACGAATAATAAATTGATGTGATGGGACGTTGGGAGCTGTGCCAGGAAAAATACATGTGTGTGCATTTTAAGAAAAGTGTGAGTTAAGAGAGGGTTTGTTAGACCTGGAGGTTAGTGACAGCGTTTGGCAATTCTTGACGTACCAGTGTTCGATTTTAGCAGCGGGCTGTTTAAAAAAAAAACAATGTCTGTTTTTCTCCCCATGTACGCTACGTATAGACTAAGACTATCTACAATTACAAAGTATTTTAAACTGCAGAGAAAGGTCCAGGACAAAGAAAGCAAGGGATAGATAACGATACAAGTAGGCGGACAACTTCAAGAGAACAAACAAACGAACGAACTTTATTTTTTCGGGGTTACAGATTGGGCACATAGGTCCGTCTTATATTCCGCCCTTTTTAACACCCATCTTTAACACAGCAGTTGTATTTTATTAACAAAGCATGCTTGAATATCAGGGGAGGGGGAGGGGGGATTAACACAAAAGAGATAGACGAGTAGCAGTCTTACGGAGTGTGCTACCAACCTCTACTGTGGCAAAGGCAACTAGCAGCATGACGATGGAGGTGATGGCAGTGAAGCAAGCGTTCGCCTGGCTCGAAACACAAAACTACAGCCGCGTATGTATACTCAGTGATTCAATGAGTATGATCTGGAACGTTCAGACAGGTTCGGTGCTAAGACAATGGCTTGAATCATTACAGAAGTCCACTGTGCGTGGAGTCACCTTTATTTTTTTTTTTTTTTTTTGTTCGGGGAAACGCAGGTGTCGATGGAAATGAAAGAGCTGATAGGTTGGCTGGATCCGCTATCACTACCGACGGTCAGTCTATGGACCATGCTGATATTATTAATGCCCTAGGAGAAATAGGAAGGATAGAGGACTTTGGTGGCAGTGAATCCACATCACTCGCCAGAATGGCAGACTTGGGAATTAAGATCGGCACAGCAAAACACGAGACGCACACAAGACACACCAGAAGACTTGTTAATCAACATAGAACTAGTACTATTAGCCTTTGGACGTTGAGGTTCATACTGAGGGGAGGATTTGAGCACCTATGGGCGTGTCTGGAGTGCAATAATGATAACCCAACTAACTAACCAACCAACCAACCAACCAACCATCCAGCCAACCAACCAAATAACTGACTAACTAATTAACTGTGGCAACAGCATCTCAAAGATTGGTCGACTGACATTTATAGTCAATTATTCAAAAATGCTCTTTAAGTAAGGTCGTCTCAAGAAAGAAAATGCACTCGTCTGTGTGGCCAGTTGGAGCTCTCGGGCACGTGTGAATACCGGAAGTAAATACATAAAAGGTTGTCCAGACAGTTCTCTTATTTCTCAACTTGTGTTTGTCTGCAGACATGCGAGGTCGGAAGGAGCTGATAGAGCACTATGATCCAGCCCAGTCCAGCTTCATCATAAAACACAAGGAGGAGATTCGAAGTAAGTGTTTGTGTTCTATTGTTATAGTTGTACCTTGGTGTTTGTTATGTTGTGATGATTGTACCCAGATATGAGTTATGTTGTGATGGTTGTGCCTTAGTGTGTGTTATGGTGTGATGGTTGTACCCTGGTGTGTGTTGTGTTGTGATAGTTGTACCCAGATATGAGTTATGTTGTGATGGTTGTGCCTTGGTGTGTGTTATGTTGTGATGGTTGTACTCTGGTGTGTATTATGTTGTGATGGTTGTGCCTTCGTGTGTGTTATGTTGTAATGGTTGTACCCTGGTGTGTGTTATGTTGTGATTGTTGTGTCTTGGTGTGTGTTATAATGTGATAGTTGTATCCTAATGTTTGTTACATTGCACTGGTTGTATTCTGGTGTGTGTTATGATGAGATGGTTGTACCCTGGAATGTTTTATGTTGTGATGGTTGTACACTGGTGTGTACCTTTATATTTTCTAATGTGATGATTGTATCATTTTGTGTTGTAATGTGATGGTTGTAACTTTATGTGATCTAATGTGATGTTTTAATTTTTTTATGTTATAATGGGATGGTTGTTACTTTTTGTGTTATAATGTGAAGGTTGTTACCTCTTGTGCTATGATGTGATGATTGAAATTTGTTGTGTTATAATCAGGGCTGTACCGAACAATGATTTTCACTATTCGGCTGAATACGAATAGCTGGACCATCTATTCGGCTAAATATAAACACGAATACGAATAATGTATCATCATCATCAGGTGCCTTGCCGACTGGCGTGGGCGAATATGCCTCGCCATGATCTGCGATATCCTGCAGCATGTATTAATCCGTGAACTGACACACCTCCATGCCATGCAACAAGACTGTCAAGAATCTTCTCTCGTTGTCTTGCTCTATCGCTCCTTCCACAGATCTTTCCAGTGGTCACCACATATTCCATTTTCCCTCTTCTCATAACATGGCCGAAAAATGATGACTGTCTCCTTCTGATGTCTGTGATTAGTTGTGTTTCAACTTTTAAAACCTCTTGGTTGCTTTTGTTTTTGGCTGTCCAGTGTATTTTAAGCATTGTTTTGTAAAACCACCTCTCTGAGGCCTCAAGAAATTGTTTGATCTGCCTACCGATTGTCCAGGACTCACAACGCATTGCCTTTAATATAGGTGCTTACTTGACAAGGCTAACAGTGAATTGTACAGGCCACATTTTCCACTTTAACATGTTAGCCAAAATGTAATCACAACCTTTACTTATCCGCTGCACCTTCACGAATACAGATGGAGGATCAGTCGCACCTCGAGATAAATACAGAGACAATTTTTAGCACGCTGCGGTTGGCATTTTATGCAGTATGATACACTTTGAGTGTGAAACAAGGAAAAAAACTCTTTTCGACAGTAGCGAGGAAAGACAATTTAAATTTTAACTTTTAAGTATCTTCATGCCTTCTTTAATAATGTCCCAATTTATAGCCGACTTTTCTTGATTTTCACCGCGCAACCTGGCATACGCACCCAATTTGAGAACCTCTGCTGTAATACCTAGGTCGAGTCAGCAGGCAAAGACTTTGCCAGCTACTGTACCACGCAACCGGGTCGCAGTTTCTCCCGCTACGACAGACTTAGGCAACAGCAACTATTGTGTTAATGAGATAGTTATTTCAATCCATCGCAGTGTATGCAAAACGGTTGTAAGGTAACCACTATACGTATTCGGCCCGACCGCAAGTATTCGGACGAACACCGAATAGTTATTAAGTCCACTATTCGGCCCCGAAGCGAATACGAAGCGAATATTCGGTACATCCCTAGTTATAATGTGATGGTTGTAGAATTTTGTTTTATAATGTGATGGTTGTATCTTTGTGTTTGTATATTTTTGTGTTCTAATGTGATGCTTGTAAATTTGTGTTCTATGTTGTGATAATTGTACCCTTTATGAACAAGTGTGATAGTTGTACCTTTTTGTGTTTTTCTTCTTAGTCTTTGTTCACGTGCTGAAAGCTCCAGGGGAAAGTCCTGGTTGTTCGTCTGTTTGAACTTTGGCTTTGTGCCAGGGACAGAGTTTTACTGGCATATGTTTATGCAGTTGGTTGTTTCTTGCTGCTCGGGCAGATGCATTCCGACTTTCGAAGGAAGTCTCCACTTAGTCGACTCATACGACATGTTTTCGACTCATACGACATGCTTTTTTGTGGAGGCACTGGGACATTCTTGTTTTCGCCACACTAGGACTGCGGAACTCATACTTGGACCTTTTCTGTTCTAAAGTGATAGTTGTACCCGTTCGTGTATGAAGAGATGTTTGTACATTTTTAAGTTCTAATGTTGTAATGTTTTAAATGCTAAAGTGATAGTTGTACCCGTTCGTGTATCAAGAGATGTTTGTACATTTTTAAGTTCTAATGTTGTAATGTTTTAAATGCTAAAGTGATGGTTGTAAATTTTTATGTTCTAGTATGATGGTTCTACCTGTTCTTATGTGATTGTTGCACCTGTTCTTGCCATCTTTCCATCTTTCTAAAGTATTATTTTGTACTATGAAGAGTTGTTAGAATCACAATCCGTGGTGAGACTTATTATTATGCTCCTAATCTGGGATCCTAGATTTTTTTTGGGGCGGGGGGGGGGGGGGATTCGTCGCGTCGAATATGTTCCATCTATCTTGAGACAGTGATCTTCTACAGCTGTGTTTGCCCCACAAAGCACGGATTCTTTTGCTCCAGCGACAACCTACCTAAGTGGTATAAACACCTGCATTCGTGAAAATTGCAACACGAAGCAACAGTCTTTAAACCGCGAGGTGAACGGCTTACTGGGTACAGAGAAACGCATCACACGTTGATTTATAACTTACTTAACTGTACTGTGATAATTCAAGAGATAACCATCATTTTGATCGAGTGATCTGTAATTTGTCTCTTATAGATATCAAGACTTACTTCATCACGGGAAGGAAGCCGGGAAATAAAGGCATCCCGGGACTCGATGAGTTGGCCGATGAAAGGCCTGAGCATTTACGAAAAAATAAAGAGGCTGCAACTTCGGATTCTCAAGAGGTAAGCAATTAAGATTTTATCATGGCCTGTCCCTTCGTCTATCAGTGTTTTTAGTAAATACGTCCATTCATAGCCTTCTGCGACGTGTCTTGCCTTGAAGCTCTCAGACAAGGGCTTACTCAAAAATATTGAATAAAGCAGTGTTGAACGCGAAGATCCTTAGGCAAGCTGGAGCCCATTAGGTAGAAATGGCTGAGGAACATTAGGAATAATAGACATTTGGTGGATTTGTGTTGCATCTGGCTTGAAGAGAAGATGTAGAGAAACGATTAAATATTGTTAAAGATGAAGTCCGTTCGCAATTATTGTTTTTGAGGTGGGATAAATCTATAAGGCCTTGGCATACAGGATGATGTGGCAACTTTCTTACATAGTTGCCTTCCCTTCCCAAACTATTCCAGTGACATTGAATAGCACATAATTTTTATTAGACTGAAACCATACTGGTAGGAAAAAGAAACTAGACAGGGTTGATGTCATTAATTCCATGGGTGAACCAGCAGAGACAGTAAATACCCGTGTCCAGATTGGTGGATATGGGAGCGCTTCGTGGACCAGCCAGAAATAGGCAATTCACCAAGAGCGCAAGACGTTAAGGTTAGTTGCGTATCCTTTACAGGACGTTGCAGAACCAACCCCAACAGTCCCTGGCTGTTGTGTGGTTTTTCTAGGCAAATTTACGCCTAGGAGTTTGCCATTGCTGCTGGACGGTCGGCTTTCTTGATATCACTGTCGAAACCAACGCAAGGCGCATGATCAGCACCTGGGATCGAACCCGGCATCCCGGCATTGCGAAGCGTTCGCATCGACTTAGCCACAGAGCCTAACGCAAGACGTTATAGTAACCAAAACACAACGGGCGTGACCTGTCCTTATATGCTTGTGGTTCTATTGAGGAGAAGACTAGAGCATATATGGATCTGTCCGGAGGGTTGGGATGATGGTCTTCAATAGTCACAGTTTACTAATCACTAAACGGGGCGCGAAAAAAAATATCCTGGATTGAACGCGGACTCCTATATTGATAAATGCGTATAGTAACTTCACGGCCACCATTACCTTTATCGTCGGCACAAACATCATTATCAGCCACAACCATCACCAGTGTAATTAATGGAGTAATAAATCAGTGTACGATGCACCCAGGGGTGTAAAATGAGTTAACAATAACAATCAATTCTGATTTTAATCTCATTCATGCTATACTCTGATTGCCAGGACCCCGTCAACAATCTGGTGTTTCATGATTAATTCAGTGTGTTTTCTCATAACATCTTTGTATAAACATGTAAAAATTGACACATAACGGGCCACACTTCCCGCATCACACAGGCCGGATCAATCCTGTTGATTACTTTCTCTGGGATCAACTGCGAGTTGCCACAATGGCTCTTTCAGTTAATCATTTCTGGCTTTAAATTTTCCAAGCAGAGTTGCCAGAGTCTCGAGGCTAAGGCAAAAAGTGGCTCCTCCTCACTCATCCCCCTCTCTCTCTCTCTCTCTCTCTCTCTCTCTCTCTCTCTCTCTCTCTCTCTCTATCTCTCACATTCTTTCTCTTTCTTTATCTCTCTCTCACACACACATATACGCACACTCACAAACGCACACATACGTACACACACACTCAAACACTCGCACGCACGCACACACACCAACACATACAATCTGACAATGAAAATGTGTTAGTGGGCTAAGAGGCCCGTTTGTCCCTGGCCATGTATAGAAATGATATTTGTAGCCTTGTGTTTATACAAACCCGCCCTTGAAATAGTCTACTATCCAGTCAACTGATGACTTCCCTTGGATTTCGTTTGTTTGGGGTGAATAAAGACGAAAGCACCATTATTTCTGCTGCTGCTGAGGTTTCCACTATTGCTGCTGCTGCTACTGCTACTGCTACTACTAGCAGGACTACTACTACCACCATTACCACCACCACCACAATAACAACTCATTAACACGAATTACAAGAAACCGCAAAATTAGGGGTTCCCGTTAAAACATTCACGCTAGCCCGGGTACTAAGAATAATAACATTGTTAGGACCGAATTTGTGTTCATGTTAACCGAGTGTTCGTCTTAAGCCAGTTCGTGTTATTGTCTCTACTGACCTCAGTAATGTTAAATATAGGCGTCATTTCAGAAAATATTTCTTACAAATCTTTGGCAACAGAAATACCACACTCTTAGGCCTAAAGAAGGAGTCACTGAGGACTACAGCTAAGAAATTTTCATCAGTGACAGAACCTTTATCCCAAGAAAGGGTGTGCCGACGGAAAGTCGTGTCCAAGAACTTAGCCCATCAGAAGACTTTTTCAGATTTGCCCATTCATATTCTCCGCTATCCTCGTTCTCCGCTATCCTCGCTCCCACTTTATTCTTCAGATACTTGGTAATTTCTTTGGTTTTGAGGAAAACAGGAATAGATCTACTGCTTCCACAACAAGCGTGTCGTAGGAGTCGACTAACTAGTGATATCCTTGGAAGTCAGAGTACGTCTTCCTGGAAAGCACGTACGCAACATCTCCATAGATAGGTCAGCTCTGTGAATCTTTGTTACCTCCTCTACATATTAAAAAAAAAAAAAAACGGCTACGCACAAGTAGATTGTGACAGTCGTCCTGATTGGGAACCTTGTTTTGGGACGCTCAATGTGCGGAACTGGTTGTTTCGCGGTGGTGTGGCTGAGGACTGACTTGGTACTCGCACAGATGAACAGTGCAAGAGCTAGCAGACAGCCAACTAAAATAGGAACCAGGACCCATAAAAACCAGAACTTAGGCATCAAAGAACAAACTCGGGTGTAATTGCTCACCACAAAGGAAGATAACTAAAATAAGTTAGCAAAGGAACCGTCCTTGATAAAGCAGGCCTTCAGACGGCTAAAAAAAAAAACTAAGCTTGGAATTTTTGTTTGATTCTACACGATACGATACGAAACGGATGTGCACGCAACACTCAGGTTTTGGAACAAGACTTAAGTCTGGAGGTGGACAGACAACGAGAACTTTCTGCCGGAATTTACAGCCGGTGAACGCCAAGAACAAGATTAAGACAATTGATAATATTACAGTTTTTTTTTTTTTTTACTAAAAATCATAATCACCTAAACCAGGCTTAGATACATGATAGCCCTGGAAATTTTCTCAGACCCTGTTTTTCCTTGTTTCGGCGCCCCAGTTCTCAACGGTTGGTTGCCTTTAATTTTACCTTGTGTCAGAGTTCAGACATTATTTGCGTTTGAATAATCTCACTGATCTTGTGTAGAGACGGAGAAACGGGTGTAATCGTTTGAAAGTAGTTGCGACTTTTAATTGCGCCCAACTACTTCATCAAGGACAAGCTGTGAGCGTTATATATAAAGTTAGCACGGTGAGGGATTGTTTAATGTAGAAGGTGAGGGATTGTTGAAAGTAGAAGGTGAGGGATTGTTTAATGTAGAAGGTGAGGGATTGTTGAAAGTAGAAGGTGAGGGATTGTTTAATGTAGAAGGTGAGGGATTGTTGAAAGTAGAAGGTAAGGGATTGTTAAATGTAGAAAGTGGGGGATTGTTGAACGTAGTAGATGAGGAAATTTTGAAAGTAGAAGGTGAGGGATTGTTGAAAGTAGAAGGTGAGGGATTGTTAAATGTAGAAGGTGAGGGATTGTTTAATGCAGAAGGTGAGGGATTGTTTAATGTAGAAGGTGAGGGATTGTTTAATGTAGAAGGTGAGGGATTGTTTAATGTAGAAGGTGAGGGATTGTTTAATGCAGAAGGTGAGGGATTGTTTAATGTAGAAGGTGAGGGATTGTTTAATGCAGAAGGTGAGGGATTGTTTAATGTAGAAGGTGAGGGATTGTTGAAAGTAGAAGGTGAGGGATTGTTGAAAGTAGATGGTGAGGAATTGTTTAATGTAGAAGGTGAGGGATTGTTTAATGTAGAAGGTGAGGGATTGTTTAATGTAGAAGGTGAGGGATTGTTTAATGTAGAAGGTGAGGGATTGTTGAAGTAGAATTTGATGGACTGCTGAAGGTAGAAGGTGAGGCAGTGTTAAAGGTAGAATGTGAGGGATTGTTAAAAGTAGAAGGTGAGGGATTGTTGAAAGTAGAAGGTGAGAGATTGTTGAAAGTAGAAGGTGAGGGATTGTTAAAAGTAGAATGTGAGGGATTGTTGAAAGTAGAATATGAGGGATTGTTGAAAGTTCAGGTAGGAAGAGTAGAAGCAGGGACATCAGCAGAGTATATGAGGACGGGATAAGTCGAAAAGAAAGAAAGAAAGAAAGAAAGAAAGAAAGAAAGAAAGAAAGAAAGAAAGAAACAGGAAGGAAGGAGGAAAGAAGGAAAGGAAGGAAGGAAGGAAGGAAGGAAGGAAGGAAGGAAGGCAAGGAAGGAAGGAAGGAAAGGAAGAAAGAAAGAAAGAAAAGAAAGGAAGAAAGAAAGGAAGGAAAGGAAGGAAGGAAGGAAGGAAGGAAGGAAGGAAGGAAGGAAGGAAGGAAGAGGAAGGAAGGAAGGAAGGAAGGAAGGAAGGAAAGGAAGGAAGGAAGGAAGGAAGGAAGGAAAGAAAGGAAGGAAGGAAGGAAAGAAAGGAAGGAAGGAAGGAAGGAAGGAAGGAAGGAAGGAAGGAAGGAAGGAAGGAAGGAAGGAAGGAAGGAAGGAAGGAAGGAAAGGAAGGAAAGAAAGAAAGAAAGGAAAGAAGAAAGGAAAGAAAGGAAAGAAGGAAGGAAAGAAAGGAAAGAAGGAAGGAAAGAAAGGAAAGAAAAGAAAAAAAGAAAAGGAAAGAAAAAATAAGAAGAAAGAAAAGAAAGGAAAGAAAGAAAGAAAGGAAAGAAAGGAAAGAACAGAAAGAAAGAAAGAAAGAAAGAAAGAAAGAAAGAAAAGAAAGAAGAAAGAAAGAAAGAAGAAAGAAAGAAGAAAGAAAGAAAGAAAGAAAGAAAGAAAGAAAAGAAAGAAGAAGAAAGAAAGAAAGGAAAGAAAGAAAGAAAGAAAGAAGAAAAGAAAGAAAGAAAAGAAAGAAAAGAAAA